ATACTAAATCATTATCATTGAATCTAGTATGTTTATCGCTCAACTGACTACTCAAGTTCTGATAACCAGGGCTCCCACTAGAAAAACAGAATCACAGTTCCACTTATCCCTGTGATTCCCGTTGTAAGTGACTTACCACTTCCCAATCAACCAGCTATTTCGTCTGTATTTGCAACATGAAATGTATATACTAATGCTGCCCAAACGTTGAAACTGCCTGAACACTGAACTGCCTGAAGCAGTATGTTGCCACATGGTTGTTTTCCAAAATCTAACAAGACCTCCCTGGTCTCTATACGTGCACCAATCATCTGAAATACTGGGTTCCAGCTCGGCTGCGGAGCCAAAGAACTCCCACTTAGTCGCCTCACCCGACTTCTGAATGAAATCCTTCTCTGGAACTAGTTGCCACTAGTTATCATGTCATTGTGGCTATAAAAACCTCCTGATCTAACCGATCAAGTCCATGCGTCGAATCCTGTCATCATCCAACCCAAGACTAAAAGTGGTTGCTACCTATCCAATGGTAGCCTTACATCACAAACGCCCATAAGCAGTCCATTACTTCCCTGATCTCATAACTGTAGTGGCGTTCCTACAGTCTTATCACTGGCTCAACCAGAACTAATCTATCTGGGTAATACCGAGATCCAATATGTGGATTTCCCGTATCCTCATTGCTACACCTGAACTGGTGGGTACTACTATTCCTTCCGCATTCTAACAACACGCTCATGCCATCTATTAACCTAGTGAATGCTACGGCTACACTCGCAAACTTACAACACTCTATCACTATCTAGCTGCTAGTGAATGCTACGGCTACACCCGCAGACTTACAACACTCTAATATTATATGTCAACATGGTGAATGCTACGGCTACACCCGCAGACTTACAACACTTTCCACGCTAACTGAACGCTAGTGAATGCTACGGCTACCCCCGTAGTCTTACAACACTTCCCACACTATCTGACTGCTAGTGAATGCTACGGCTACCCCCGTAGTCTTACAACACTTTCCAAACCGGGTCGAACACGCACTCGACCTAACACACCACTACACTTGAGTCCTAACCAGAACTCTAACCTGATTCCCGAAACCTGCTATCATGTGACCCCACTGTATCAGTACCACACCCATGCCCGTGATCAAAGCGTCACACTAAACCACGAAATCATCTACACCCTCTGGCAGGGTGAGAATTAGTGCCTCGCACAACTGCTGTCTGAGAGTATTGAAGGCTACCTGCTATTCAGGCCCTCAACGAAAGGCCATCGACTTCTTGGTCAGTCGGTTCAAAGGAACCTCAATCTCGGAGAAGTCCCGTGTAAATCTCCGGTAATAACCCACTATACCCAGGGAATTCCGAATATCAGATGGAGACCTATGAATCTCCCACTGCATCACGACCTCTATCTTGGTCGAATCAACTAGGATACCCTTCTGGTTGACAAGGTGGCCAAGAGATTGCACCTTGCGTAACTAGAACTCACAGTTGGAGAACTTTATAAAAAGTCTCTCCCCCACTTAGATTCGTCTAAGTCTTCACATTACTTGAGAATTGAAGGATTCCTAATCCTTCTCACTTTCTAATATCCCATTGATGACAACCTGTGCCTGTGAATGCTTACGTTTAATCGCCGATTAAACCTTGAGATCGCCCATCCTCAGAAGTCTCGATGAGTACCCTTGAAATATGATTCAGTCTGACACCTCAATCCATTTAACATGCTATCAATTGAAGACCTTAATCTTCACTCTAGCTGACGAATCCTCATTCCCACTGCCAATCTTGCAGTACCACTGAACTCTAACCGAACACAACCCATGCGAAAACACAATTCTATTGAACATCCAGTGACCAACCACTTATGCATCTAACACCCGCGACTGACACTACCCTCTTCCTGTCACCAGTTCTGTCCTTGAAACGGTAGTGCCTTGAACTCCAAGGTTGATCCATAAACAATTATCGACCATACCTAAACAATGATAGAACCTCTGAACGCTGACTTCATTGGGGAACAATCACTCCAACCCTGACCGAGTATCCTCTAAATAATACTCCTGCATAGATCCCGACAAACATCCGAAATGATAATGGTATGCGCGGAAGCCACTCCGCAAGATGCGCCCCTCTTTGGGTTCATCAAGGACTTTTCAGCATGCAGGATGGCATATATGATTATTGATAACCAAGACACTAGTAGGAAACCGACCCGAGATCTAACTTATCCAAACTCACTCACAATTCCAATGCGATACGCATCCCCAACATCCATCTAGTAGCAATAGAAGATGACATACTTGCAACGTCTGGGGAAATACTGGTCACCTTCTGCTGATATGACCAATCCTGCTACCCTGTAGCAGCCTAAACCCTTGGAGTGACAAACTCCCTTGTGTACCTTCTCGTACGCGTTGCACTGACTCAGACCCTGCTGGCCTCTCACCTGATGTTCAGAAGTCATGGGTCTCTTCTCGGGACCCTCTACTATACGCACCTGGTACACACCTCTCTTTCCAAGGTGCTCCAAATCAATCTCGCATCTACAACTCTTGGAAATCAAATCCTTCAGGGTCTGACACCCTATCACGTGCACTAGCTCGCTTGCCAATGGTTAAGCTGCAAAACTGGAACATCCTCTATCCCCAAATTGGGTTACAAACTCTTCCCTGAAGCTTCTTAGATTCTCCAAGACTCTCACTGATTCGAGTATGGATCCTATGCTTTCAGTAGTACAGGCCCAATACTACCTTCCACACCTATCCATACTTCCCTCAGCAATCCTCCCGGATTCTCCAAGTCACTTCCTCAACTGGTACACCCAAGTCTAACTGAGCCTCACTACTAACTCACTGGAATATATCCTAGGCTTCCCTAGGTTCCCGAACTCACCCAGTCCTCAGCTGCTGAAAGATTCCCAGTAATGTCAAGTAGCTACCTCATGAATATAGCCACATGCAACAGAGATCAGATAATCTTTCAAGTAACAGACTCATCCCTATAACGGTTAGACTCAAACGAGAGCTGCGCAATAGGGTCAAATCTATCACTATGAGATTATCCAGCCTGTGCCACATGTGACTTAGCATATTCACTTAATAGCTAACTCACATTACTAAGAGTCCCACAAAGCACAAAGCAAGCAGCATTCAGACAATGGAAAATCTAACCATCATATTCCAATCAAATCATTTTATCCTTTAATCAGGAATCTGTACATGTAATTCAAAGGCCTATACAATCAGGGCATAACCTAAACAGACTATCCTATCACTGACTGATCAGTACTAGCATGCAAGTCTACAAGCACATATAATAGGCATATAAGGAATCCTCCTAAATCCTTAGCCCTAATCTAGCATGCAGTTCTCATAATCATATCATATCGTAACATCTCATAACATGTATGGATATCTTGGGGAAGATTTACTTGAGCTCAGCTGATTGCACGCATCACACACTTTGTTCTTCTTAAAGTTCTTTTCTCTTTTCAGATTCTTTTCAAACTCTTTTTTTTTATAAAATTGTTTTACTTTTGAAAAATTTCATACCAAACCCTTAGTTTGAGTTCAGACACACCCGATAGTATGTCTGAATCCCTCAAACCACGACTCTGATACCAACTTGTAACATCCAAAAAATACATGCCAAAATTTTCATTTTTAATTACGTCATTTAAACCAAAAGTGTACTAAAACATCTGTAATATTATGTCATGTCAAAACCAAAGTAGAAATAATCAAACATGTTATCATAAAACAGTATCAAAGTGTAATCCCAAAGATCTCTTGTGCGGAAAACCATAGTGTGATGCGCTGCGATCAAGCCGGCTCCTTTCCTTTAAACACGAAGTACCTGAAACCAAAACTGAAAACCGTAAGCACGAAGCTTAGTGAGTTCCCCCATCATACCACATACCACACAATCACATAACATACATACTGCCAGACATTTATGGGGTGCCCGACCTACCCGGAACGACCTTTCTGGGGTGCCGACCTACCCATACGACCATTCTGGGGGTGCCGTCCTACCCGTGTCAATCCATTCTGGGGTGCTGACTACCCATGTCAAGCCATTCTGGGGTGCTGACTACCCTTCGGTCCTAACGACCGAACCTCGGGGACTATTTCACACCCCACTACTACTACTATCACATATCACAACATAACATATTATCAGACATATTTGGGGTGTCTAAACTACCCTTCGGTCCTAACAACCGAACTCGGGGACTGATCCCCACCTACTACTTTATTGCATATAACATAACAAGCCAGCATGCAAACATATCATCACATACTGTCAGACGTACCTGGGGTGTCTAACTACCCTTCGGTCCTAACAACCGAACTCTACTACTATCACATAACATATCATGCTAGCATATAACATATCAGGTAGTAGCAAACCTAGATGATATCACAAAGAGAATCATCTATCATACATCTCCTACTGGTGGGCCGACATTGTGGCCTTAGACCCACCGCTACTGGAAGGTAACTCACCTCGCACTGCTGAAGTCCCGTAAACACAATCCCACACTTGATGAAGTCCCGCATACTCAACCCCAGCTGTTGGATGACAGATTCCCGAAACAATGGCGGTTCATGGCGGTGGCCACCACCCTATGGTGGTGGTGATGCCATTTTTGAGAACTTCAACTACACACACACGCCAACAATGGAAAAACACCGCCTCATACACATGCTCTAGTTGCAAAAGGACCCAGCCACCTTCTTGGTGGCGTATAGCGGCTGACAGCCACCACCTCACGGTAGTGGTGGTGGTTTCTCTCAGTTTCCTGTCAAGCAGCAACACACCCCGTGAATCTAAAACAACAGCGCCCTTGAACCCACGTGAGACACAAACTCGACCGCCTCTCGAGTGGCAAATGGTGACCGGAGCAACAACATATTGCACAGGCGGCGGTGGAGGACCTGTGACCATCACAACATAAGAAGAACGAAGAGGGAAAATCGACTCAGTATGCCACCGAGATCAGCAACCACGAAAGCCCTCAGCTTGTTTCTTCGGGTAGCTCGTCATCGCAGCTTCCATCGGCAACCTTCTTCTTCACTGGTTGTAGAAACGAGGACGGCAGCTGGTCTCGGCAGTTCGGTTTCTGTGGAACGGTCTCAGAAACGTGGTTCTCGTTGTCGCAGGCAGAGGGAGGTACAACAGTGATGGTGGCGCTCCAGCTGCGAAGTAGTAGGTGGTGATGGAACTTAACTATGTAGCGGCGGCCGGAGATGGTCAAAGAGAGGATGGCGGCTGATAAAGGCCGCTAGGGTTAGGGTTCAAGAAGAGGTGACAGGTTTATGTACCCGGTCCCCTTAGCTACTTTCCATAATATCATCTTTAGTCCCTCCATTCCCTTTTCTTTCAAAATAAACCCCCATAGTTACCATTTAAACAATGAACTCGAAAACCCCTTTCAAATTAAGTCCCATTTCTTTACCAAACAACCCCCATCTTCTAAAATCTTTACAATTAGCTCCTCGAGACCATCATTTCATACATAATTATTTATTTTAGGACTACTATTTATTCATTAGTTTATTTATTTATTTAATAAATAAACGGGGTTTTACATAGGGCATTGCAAAAAATTAGCAACATGATTATACAAATACGGAAGGAAATCACCAAAGAAGTTTTCATTAATAATTAAATATATCTATTTTTTAAATGTAATATATATATATATATATATATATATATATATATATATATATATATATATATACACGGGTTGACGTGTTGACCTGCGAACCCAATCAGGTAATCCAACCCAACTCAAGAAATAAACGAGTTGACAAGTTGGCAGGTTAAAAATCTCAATCCAAACCTGTTTATTGTCGGGTTGGTTCAGTGTCAGGTTACGGGTTAGGTTGAGAGATTCCACCCCTAGCCATTTCTTCAGTTTCAATCGCTAAATCATATGGATTCATTGAACATAAAGACTAACATACTATATATCAATCCCATAATCAAATGCTAATCAATGGTAAGCGCTCATCTTTTCTTGGAGCTATTTCGGATTTAGCATAGTCTTCTCTATAAGCGATAGTTGTAGATTGTTTCTTTATCCTAATGGAAAACCTTAAATCATTCAACATTAAGTGAATGTTGGGAGATGGAAATACTTGACCATAGGCGGATCCAAGGGGTATCCCGGGGTAGCCCAAGATACCCCTCAAAAAAATTTCGGTAATGTAATTTTTTTAGAAAATTTTCGTTTTTTTAGTGTATATATATGCATCCCTTCACTTATAAACACAAACATATAGCTAGTCTATTGGGTAAGGTGTTGGGTTATTGAAACAAAGGTCTTAAGATCAATTCTTGTTCCCTACAAATCCTTTGTTTATATTTCTTTTATTTTTCCATCTATTCTATTCTCTTTTAATTTCTAAGCTATTCTATCCCACATCGCAAAACACATGTAAACTCAGTTGTTTTCATCTATTATAAAATCTTATCATCATGATTCATTTTATATCAACTTTGAGTCCCACATTGATTCAAGTATCAAAAAATACTTCAACTTTATGTTTATATAACAAGACTTAAAGTTAGCTAACGATTCTATTAAGGTTTGAGTTTAATACCAAAACCAAACGAGGAAACTCATGTACAAACTGAAAACCATAACATCAAATTGATGGGTTTGAGTTTTGTTTGGTTTTAAAAGATTCAAAACCGTCGCTATCAGATTTGGGGTTGATTTTAGGTCAAAACTGATCCGACCCGCCCCATGCTCAGCCGTTGCGGTTATACCCGGAAAAAAAAATTAGGATACCCCTTTGCTTTGAGTCTGGCTCCGCCACTGATACTTGTTACGGTTAGTACAAGTCTTTATCTCTATTTTTTGAAGGTGGTGTTGTCGTGGCAATTTTTTCTATAAAGTTCTATGCTTTAATCTCCAAAGAAGCTTCTCTAATTGCTATTTGGTTCCCTCATGAAGACTTTGGTTTAAAGAGGCTTTTGACCTTGGTTGATTTTTCCCATTGATATAAAAATTATAGATGGAACCGATACTCCATGGCTATGGTGTTTTGATCGAAGATGAAGATTCTAGAAAAATTAATTTGGGTTTTGCATGGCTTAAAGTTGTAAGGTCTCAAATTTAAATTAAGTTTTTTATTTTCAAGATAGAATATAATATCAACGTTGTTTTCAGTAAGTAATATAAAAACCATTTGCTCATCATTGTAAAATTATAGTTACCAAAACAGAGTAATAACATAGAATCAAAGGAAGTCTAAATCATAAATCATCAGCAATGCACGTATGGTACAATAAGCTGGACCATTCTTTCTGACAGCATAACTACCTGAAAATACCAAATCTACAATTGTAAGTACAAAACTTAAAAAGTTGCCCAATATACCATATATATCACATTAGGTATGCGATGCACTTATACAAGGCTGATAGTCAACACCTTAGTGGGTCTACATGCAGATAAATATCATCCCAAAGACCTCGAAGAATTTCCACCCGTAATTGCTTCATAGTTAACACCTTAGAGGGCCTATAAGCACATATTCGTCACCCCTAAGACCTGTTGAGCTTCCAACTATTCTCCTAGTTTCCCTGAAGGCATATAACGAACTTCCCTTAGGTTCTAACATTCTCCTAGTGGGCCTAAAGGTACATATCCAACTTTCCCTAGGTTACAACATATACCACCAAGTAGACTAACCAACCTAAATACACAATCGTACACTAAAAATACCCATAAAACCTATCACAATGTCACACATAATAATTATATAATGAGAAAACACACCCGACTCAAAAGAACTAAACACACAATCACACAATCCTTAAAGAATTAGCTACTACAAAAGTAAACCTATAATATATTGAAATTGTGAAGGGAGAGGTGATCAATTTGAGAGTCTTTCTAGTTATTGTTATTTGATCGAACAAGAGTATAGGGGAAAATAATTTTTTTACGGTGAATGGAATGGTTATAAAGAAGATATCTGTACGTGTGAGTGTGTGGGCGTAGACTTAGGTTTTGAAAAAAAAAAGGTGGAGCTTTTGATTACTTCAATAATTATAATTAAGGTATAGTTGTCAATAGATATAAATATTAGTGGCAAGATAAAAAGTTAACGTGGAAGTATCAACCCCTTCTAAAAAACTTAAAAATACTTATTTATACTTTAATAATGTAGTTATACTTCTAAATACACATTTATACTTCTAAAAACATATTATAAAAAATAAACCGTATAAATAGGCAAAAAGTATGTATATAAAGAAATAACATTTAAAAATAACATATATATAATGTTTAATTAAACATTTTTTTTGTATATAAATACGTTTTTCTGTATTAATAGCTATAACATGGAAAAACATACTTAAGATAGAAATGTAAAAGATTTGTAAACTTAAGGATTATTTTGCGAATTTTAGTTCATGGTAATATAGAAACCTGCCAACATAGGTAAAGGGGAAAAAGTAGTGAAAAACTTGCAAAGTTTGCACCAAAAAGTGTTAGGGTATAATCGTATTTTTTGACAAACGTAAATGCTTTTGTGTCAACATCGTAATAATGTATTATGACGAAGGTTCTAATTGGTATGAGGCGTAACATGATGACAAAGTTAAACCTCAAGCTATATAAGCCATGATGTTTTTCAAAACGTCACTTAAGACGATAATTTTATATATCTATAAAAGAAAAGAAATCACATAATTATAGATTTACATAAAATATATCAAGTTTTTACTTTAAAACAAAAACTTAACAAAACTCAGTATTTTCATGCTTGATATGGAAAAAAAAGAAAAAAAAACATGTCTCGAAAAAAATTCATACCGTGGCACAGGCGCCACGCCTAACATCGCCACCACAAAGGTCTTCGAGACGTTGTAATCAAGCTTTGTACCATGGAACGTCTTTGCACACCTTTTAGAACCATGATTATGACAATCTGCTATGCATCTCAATCACATATAATTACTATATGAAACCCTACAACATCGATCAATAAGCTATCGCTCTATTTTTTCGATTGAACAGTAAGAGCATTGAATTCGATATTTGACCAATGGGATGTTCGAATCCCGAACAACGAATGGAACATAAGCGGAGAACCATGCAGCGGAACAGCGCTCGGACCAGATTTCGACAAGGATAACGGAGTTGCGCAAATCGAATGCAATTGTACCTTCGATAGCAACACCACTTGCCATATTACCAAATTGTAAGTCTTTCATCAACTTGAATAACTTTTCTAAGTTAAGTTTATAAAAAAAGCAACCCCACCTGACCACTTGTATGCAATGTCATATGTACATGTAATTTCAAAGTACCCTATAATAAGAAAAAAATTGAATGTGTAATGCTATAATCAGTTAGATATCTATATGATCATTTGATTAAAGTTAAAATGATAGAATCAGTTTACCTAATAAGGACTTTTTACATGTTTTTGTCTTCTGCAAATGCTTTTTCTTGAGATTTCTCATCTTCTTGTTTCCAGGAAAGTCAGTAACTTAGCAGGAAAGGGGTTATTCCTGATGAACTTGCTGCTCTAACTTATCTTACTCATTTGTACGCATTTCTCTTTAACCTTTCAATATATATATTTTTTTTCAAATTTCTTTTTTCAAACTTATTAATAATATCTTTCACTTGTGCAGGAAAATTGATCAGAATAACTTCACTGGTACCTTGCCTACATTCCTTGGAAATTTTTCTGCAATGGTGGTCTTGTAAGTGTAGCATGTTTATTTATGTAATATGATTACATTACCCTTTTTCTCTTAATAGTTTCTATTTATTTTTTATTCAAAAAAAAGTTTTTATTTATTTTTATTTTGTCTGAACAGGTCACTTTCCCACAATCAATTCTCTGGTACAATACCCAAGGAGATTGGAAATCTTAAAGAACTAGATTTACTGTGAGTGCCATTTAATATTGTTTGTTTTGTAATAATTTATTTATAATTCTTTTATTGTTTTCTAATACATTATAATTTTATTGTAGGGCAATTAGTTCCAATAACTTTTCAGGCAGTCTTCCCCCTGAACTTGGAAACCTAGTCAAAATGCAGGGCCTGTACGTTTTTATTACAATATTTAAATTATACATAACATGACACAATAATTTTTTTTATCTATCTGAATGGAAACTAAATCATGCAATTTTAATCTTTAAAAAATTTGCAGTTATATGGACAGTTGTGGTTGTGGTGGTGAAATTCCCTCCACATTTGCCAACCTCCGAGAATTACGTCACATGTATTATTTATTTTTTATTTTTCTCTCCATTCATTAATCTCTTTATTTTTTAAGGCAAAAAAATAGTATATGGATAGCAACATAGTTATATTTATTTACAGAATGTCATCGATTATTTACCTATCATAGCAAATGTACTTGCATTTTGCTATCAATATGGTCATTGTACTTTATTTATTAGAAGTGTATTATGTATGATGTTAATATGACTATATGAGTCAAGAATTGTGATTAAATTGCTATTATGTGTAAAGAAAATGTAACTACATATTGCTATTGTTGGTAAAAAAAAATATAAGTGTGTTGTTATTACGGGTAAAAATAAAATATGCTGCCTATATATATTGGTAAAATAAAAAGAGTAAAGTATGTTGCTATTTCCTCCAAGTTGCGCTTTTTTTTAGTTATTTGTTGGTTTTTCAGGTGGGCATCAGATAGCCCCTTTTCTGGAAAGATACCTGATTTTATAGGAAACTGGACCAAATTATTGAGACTGTGAGTAAGAATTGTTTTATTTATAGCACACAATTTTACGCTATAAAATTATCGTTTATTTATTTATTTATTTATTTATGATATTTTAGGAGACTTCAAGGGAATAATTTTGAAGGTCCTATACCAGCTACTTTTTCAAATTTGACATCATTGACCTCTTTGTGAGTTACAATTATTTTCTATTCATCTTCATGATTCATTTAAAATAATGAATTATAATGAATCATATAGATATAACAATAATGTTAAATAAATGAATCATAACAATTCAATCATTCTTCCGTGAATCAAATAAACATAAAAGAATTTATTTCATTCTCATTGTCCAATGAATAATGCCTTATATTCACGAGTCACTAACACTCCTGCTCCATAGTCTAATTTAACAACAAAAAGAAAGGAAGTGGGAAGATTAGGAAAAGATCAAGAGCCAGTTTATTTATCGGAAAAAAGAGGAGAGAAAGGAAATTATTGGAGATAAATCTCATACATAATTAGATTATTTGTTTATTTTAATTAGTTTACAATATTCCATGTATATCTCCTATATTCTTGTTGTATTTTGTATAAGTACACATTATTGATTAATATCACGTAAGGTGAACAATTATCACTTTCTCACATGGTATCAGCCATCTCACGTTCCTAACCCTAATCGCCCCTCCTCTCCTCTTTGAAATCGACGATGGGCTCCTCTGAAAATACCTTCTCTCTCAATACCCTCATTCACATGCTGACCATCAAGCTAAATTCTTCTAATTACCTCCTCTGGAAGAATCAGATTACACCTCTTCTTCTTCATCAAAAATGGATGAGTCATGTCGATGGTTCCTCTACCATCCTGCCATCCACCACCATCGTTGATGGAAAAGCAGTTCCCAACCCAGCCCATGATGCTTGGGTGGACCTCGATCAAAAGGTTCTTTTGATCCTTCAATCGTCCCTCTCTGAAGAATCCATGGCGGAAGTTCTCGGTCTTTCCACCCCCCGTGAAGTGTGGACTACTTTGGAATCTGCCTATAGCCACGATTCCCAGGAATGATCCCAGAATCTTAAAGATTCTTTACGTCAACTTAAGAAGGGTAATCTCTCTGTCTCTGATTATGCTAAGCAATTTAAGACTATTTGTGATCAGTTACAGGCCATTGGAAAACCAGTTTCTAACGATGATAAAAATCACTGGTTCTTGTGTGGTTTGGGACCGACCTTCGAGACCTTTTCCACTGCCCATCGTGCTCTCCCTACGCGTCCTCTATTTCGTGATTTGGTCGCTCATGCTGAAGGCCACGAGCTCTTTCTCTCCTCCTTGCATGAATCGACACCTCCCCCTGCTGCTTTTACTGCAAATACCTCTCGTGGAAGGGGCCGATCCGGTCAATCAAACAACCGTGGAAACTCTTCAAATCGAGGTAGAGGGCGGTCTGGTCGATGACCTCCTCACTGCCAGTTATGTCGCACGGATGGTCATTATGCGAATGCCTGTCCAGATCTCAGCACCTATGCTCACCGGTCATCTCATTCTGCCGCCAACCTCGCTCAAGCCTTTCATGCAGATTGCACCATTAATGAATCTTCTGCAGATTGGTACGTAGATTCAGGTGCGACTGCCCACATGGCTCCTTCTTCGGTTAATCTTGCCTCATCTGCTCCTTATCATGGCAAAGACAAGGTTGTTTTTGGAAACGGTAATATGCTTCCCATCTCTCATACTGGTACCTTATCGATTGCTCCACACTTATAATTGTGAGATGTTCTTGTCGTTCCCCATATAAAAAAAGCAACTTTTATCTGTCAGCAAATTAACTAATGATTACCCGGTTGACTTTCTATTGTCTCAGTCCTCTTTTGCTATTCAGGACAAAGTCACAAAAAAAGATCTTGGCAACAGGCAAGCATAAGGATGGTCTATATGTGCTTCACTCCGCATCTCAAGCTTTGGTGGCATCCGTGGTCTCTTCTAATAAAGTGTCTTTTGAATTATGGCATAAAAGACTTGGCCATGTTGCTTATGATATTGTTTTACTTCTTAACAACCATGGATATTTGAATGTTACTTCTACTTTACCAAGTTCTAGCATTTGTTCTTCTTGTGCACTTTCCAAGCAACATCGTTTACCCTTTAAGTTGAATGAGAAATGCTCTTTACATGTTCTTGATTTAGTTCACTGTGATTTATGGGGATCCGCTCCGGTTACTTCTGTTGATGGTTATAGATATTATGCCTTGTTTGTTGATGATCACTCTCGGTTTTCTTGGTTTTATCCGCTTAAAAAGAAATCCGACTTTTATGAGGTTTTAGTCACATTCTTAACATTTGTTCAAACCCAATTCTCTTGCACGATGAAAACCTTTCAAAGTGATGGTGGTACATAATTTCTTAATAATCGGGTTGCTAAATTATTTGCTAACAATGGCACTCACCATCAAATGTCATGTCCTTACATTCCTCAACAAAATGGTCGTGTCGAACGCAAGCATCGCCATCTCACTGAAACCGGACTCGCCATGTTATTTGGTGCTAATGCCCCTGCAGATCGTTGGTTAGAAGCTTTCACCTCTGCAACCTATGTCATCAATCGTTTGCCAACCAAGTTACTACTAAACAAATCCCCTTTCGAGATTCTCTACAAAGTCATCCCTGACTACAACAATTTTAAGGCCTTTGGTTGTCGGGTTTTTCCTTACTTACGACCCTATGTGGAACATAAATTAGCACCACGCAGCATTGCATGCATCTTTCTCGGCTATTGCACACAGTACAAAGGATACAAGTGTTTCGATCCCATTACTACTAAAATTTTTATTACTCGGCATGCCAAGTTTGACGAAACCTTCTTCCCATTCGCTGGTGGTCCATCCTCTACAGACGAGCTCACTTTATTTTTAAGTTCTTATTCGGATGACATACCTGCTACTATGCTCGATAAACCAGAAGCCCCCATGTCCTCGCCATCATTAGCCTCGAGTTCTTCTACAGCCCCATGTATTCCGTGCCTGCTTGATGATCCTATCACTGCTGCTGCTGCACCCCTACCACCATCCTCACTACAGCCGTCTCCTGCTTCTGCGCCTCCGCCTCCACCGCAGGCATCACCACCAGCTCCTCATTCACCACCTGGGCATTCGATGATCACTCGCGGGAAAGCTGGCACTATTAAACCCCGCCATATTTTTGATCTTCTCGCAATTGCTCCGACACGTTTACAAGCTGCCTTATTTGCTGCTAAAGAACCTAAGGGTTTTAAATCAGCATCCAAACATGATCATTGGTGTCGTGCCATGAATGAAGAAATTCGAGCTCTATGGGATAATCATACCTGGACTCTGGTACCACGACCATCAAATGTCAATATTGTTGGATCTAAGTGGGTCTTTCGCACTAAATATCATGCTGATGGTTCTGTTGATCGGCATAAAGCTCGTCTAGTAGCACAAGGGTTCACCCAAATTCCGGGGTTTGATTTTTCCCACACATTTAGTCCAGTTGTTAAGGCCACAACTGTTCGAATTGTTTTATCCTTGGCTGTCACAAATCGATGGAATCTTCATCAACTTGATGTTAAAAATGCCTTTTTAAATGGTAATTTACGTGAAACTGTATATATGGAGCAACCTCCGGGGTATGTTGATTCTAAGCATCCAAATCATGTGTGTCGTCTCAACAAGGCGTTATATGGCCTTTGTCAAGCTCCACAGGCTTGGTTTCAACGCCTTAGTTCTTTCCTAGTTGCTCAAGGCTTCAAATGTAGTCAAGCTGATACATCACTTTTTATTTTCCATTAAGGGTCATGCTTACTCTACCTCCTTGTTTATGTTGATGATATCATCCTAACTGGAAATCATTCCCCATCCATTACACGCTTTATTAGTCGGTTGAAAACTGATTTGCTATTAAGGATCTAGGCAAATTGAGTTATTTTCTTGGCCTTGAGGTCACCTATACCTTGAATGGTTTGTTTCTCAATCAAAGTAAATATGCTCATGACATCTTAAGTCGTGCAGGTCTTCTTGATTCCAAACCTGTTGGTACTCCTCTTGCCACTAATGATGTCTTTACTACCACTGGCACACCCTTTCACGACACTACCTTCTATCGATCCGTTGTTGGAGCATTACAATATTTGACGATTACAAGGTCTGATCTTTCTTATGCTGTTAATCAAGCAAGTCAGTTCCTTCATGCTCCTACTGTTGACCATTTTACCCTTGTTAAAAGGATTTTACGCTATGTCAAAGGCACTATAACTCATGGTCTTCATTTTTCAGTTCCTACAAAGTCAATGCTCATTGGTTATTCGGATGCCGATTGGGCTCGTTGTATTGAAACTCGGCGCTCCACTTATGGCTATTCCATCTTCTTTGGTGGTAATCTTGTTTCTTGGAGTGCCAAGAAACAACCAACTGTTTCCAGGTCAAGTTGTGAATCTGAGTATCGTGCTATGGCAAATACTGCAGCAGAATTGGTTTGGATTACACATCTGTTACGTGATCTGAATGCCTTGCCATCATCTCGCCCTACCTTGCTTTGTGACAAATTAAGTGCTATTTTCTTGAGTCAAAATCCCGTTGCACATAAGCGGGCAAAACATATAGACATTGATCATCATTTTATTAGGGAACTTGTTTTATCTGGCAAATTGCATACACAATTTGTTCCTACCAAGCTTCAAGTGGCTGACATCTTTACCAAACCTTTACCAAGACCGCTGTTTGAAAAGTTCCGTGATCAGCTTCGAGTTCGCCCACCACCTGTGCGCTTGAGGGGGGGTATTGGAGATAAATCTCATACATAATTAGATTATTTGTTTATTTTAATTAGTTTACAATATTCCATGTATATCTCCTATATTCTTGTTGTATTTTGTATAAGTACACATTATTGATTAATATCACGTAAGGTGAACAATTATCACTTTCTCACAGAAATGAAGATCATACTAATCTTCCCTACAAACTCTCCTCCCAAATTGGGAAGAATTGGAGAGAAAGGAAAAGAAACAAGTTATGATTCATTTAAAATAAATGAATAATAAACGATTGATTTTAAATCATTACCGAATATTGGGTTTGTATATGGAAATATGTCATGATGGTTTCTCACTTCACACCAAAATTTTAATATCTCATTTGTCTATATAAAATGAATTACTTTTATACATGAAATTTTACAGGCGAATAAGTGATTTGCAAAATTTTAGTTCATCTCTTGACTTTATCACCAACTTGAGGAATCTAACTAACTTGTAAGAAGCTTGGATTTATTTGAGATGCAATGATATCTGCATATATTATGTCCTACAATTTATAAATTTATTTCAAATTACTAACATTTTTTTTAATGTTTCAACCAGAATTATAAGAAATGCATTAGTTTCTGGTCGTATTCCAGCCGACATTAATCAACTGCAAAGCCTAATTACAATGTAAGTTTTTATGCAAAATTCCAAGATGCGTTTAATTTTGTTCCACATAATGTTTTGGAATGAATGAAATCTATCAAAGGAATTGTAATCTATCATGTCTTTGGTTGACACGAAATGGAATGAAATTCGATAATAATATATATTTTTTTGAATTTCATTTTTAGTAATAGTTTTTTATTTATTCAAAAATATATAATGAAGGTAACAAAAAAGGAATAACCGAATTGAATTCCTTCCATATCTACGCGTAGTAATGGTGAAATCCTTCAAATATGAAGTTTGAAGCAATCTAACGGGATTAAATTCCATCCATTTGCTAGCCAAACACCTGATGGAATGGAATCTAGAATTCCAATTCCTTTACATTACTTGGAATCAAATACTCTCTAATAAATACGTTTACATAGTTCTATTTATGGCAGGAGATAATTACAATTCATGAATTTTTTTGGTAGGGATTTAAGTTTCAACAATTTAAGTGGTCCACTTCCACAAACATTAATGAATTTGACTTCCCTCATTTCCTTGTAAGTTATCTTTAATGCATATAACTCTTTTTTATTATTATTATTATTATTATTATTATTATTATTATTATTATTATTATTGTGTTTGATGTGGTCAGATTTCTTGGAAATAATAGCTTGTCTGGTTCTCTTCTTCCTGAAAAAAGTGTGAAACTTCAGAATATGTAAGTTGATTAGTGATTACGGGCTATTTTAACATGTTTACCATTTCAATTGATTTATAATATTTTCATTTTCTCGAATTAATAAAATTTATATTTCAGAGATTTGTCTTACAATGAACTTTCTGGATCTTTTCCTCTGTGGGTGATTCCGTCATTTGGATCGGTTAAGCCGCAATTGTATGTTTACTTTTCTGCTTTAATGTCACTTTTCTTCATTTTCAAAAATGAGTTTTTTTATTTAATTTTATAATCCTATTAATTAATTATGTATTGAAGTTTTTGCATGTTATTTCAGGAATTTGGTGGCTAATAACTTTAAGTTTGACAGCACAAACATAAGGTAACCATTTAAATTCTCAATCTATATTTGGCATAATCAATGTTGGAAGATGTCATATAGCTAACTGTAAAGATTAACTTTCTTTTAGCTAACTGGAAAGATTAACTTTCTTTTCATGGAACCGAAATAAACAGATGTATAATTCCATGGTCTTGTAAGTTCACTTGGTTGGAACTTGCTTCAATTACAAGAAAAAAGAAACAAGTATGTAATAGGTAAAAGGAAAAATGTAACGATGGAAGAATTGAAACAAAATAATTACTTGGTGAACATGAATAAACTCATAAATAAGTATCCTAATTGGATTCTAAAGCTACGCAAGAGATAAAAAAACTTAAATATGTCTACTTTCCTAAAATGCCCTTGATTTAAACTAGACGAGGCAAACTCCTAAAATAAAGAAACTGATTAATCCGAAAATCACCCCCTTAATAGGTTTGGTCATACCGCTCATTCACAGCAATGTCGGTTCCTCTTCGACTAGATTTGCCTCTTGTTTTTCCCATTTAGGACACTTGTTGCTATAGTGACCAAACTCAACACATTTGTAACATTTAACATGTATTTTATCTCGGACATGTTTATTACCATCTCAATTCCTCCCGGACCCCCGACCTCTTCCCGACCACGTCTAAAGTCATCCTGATTTGAACCTCGATTTCCATAATGCTTACAAACATGTGATCTTCCTCACTAGCCAACATCAACCCACCTTGAGTGTCCTCCACTTACTCGATTCCTCTTATACGGTCCTCGTATGCCTTCAATCTACCAATGACTTCATCAAATAACATCGAATCCAATTTGAAACATTGCTCTATTGAAGCCACGATTTGAAGAAATGACTAAGGCATCAAATCAAGTAAGATTCTCACCAAATCAGCTTCTTCAAGCTTATAACCAAGACTCCTAGCTTTTGAGGAAACCGGATAATTTCGTCACTAAATCATCGACCGTTTCACCCTCTTTCATGCGTAAACTTTCAATCTCTCTCTTTAAGGTTGCAAGCCAAGCCATTCTCACCCGATTCACTCCTAAATATCCCAATTGAATTCTGAAGCTATGCAAGAGATTAAAAAACTTAAATATGGATACTTTCCTAAAATGACCTTTATTTAAACTAGACAAAACAAACTTCTAAAATAAGGAAACCGATTAATCCAATAGGTCTTCTCGTTAATCATCAAAGGGTTTATATAAAGAGATACAGAACAATCTCGATAATGAAGGGATTGGATTACAACAAATATGGTAAATATACTAAAAAATATATTCCATTAACAGTCACCAACAGTCTGAGCAAGAGGAGGACGAACACTCAAACCGAATCTACAATCATAAAATAGTTTGTTGTGGAAGACATTTGGTGAAGATGTAAGCATACGGATAGACCGAAGGAATGTGTAAAACCTGAACATCACCTTGAACAATTTTTCCCGTACAGTTGAGACATTGTCACATTATATTAGAGCAGCACGTCTCAAATGGGTATGGAGCTTGAGTAGTAGGTTGCATAGCCAACATGTTTCAACAACTACATTCGCTACCCCTTGATATACGGCCTTGGAGCTTGAGCGAGAAAGAGTTTGTTGGTGTTTTGCAGACCATGAGGTTATGTTGTCACCCAAAAATATGTAGTAACCAAAAGTGGATTGTTGTGTATTAGGAAATATTCCTCGGTCTTCTTCAGTATAGAAAATAAGTTGTGTAGGTACCAATAGTAGAGGTTGAGAATGTGATCAAGGGTACCCTTAAGGTATTGTATGATGCGTTTTACGCCTCTAAAGTGTGGAATGCGTGGAGCATACATACATAAGCATATTTGTTGAACTTTGTATGCTATGCTTTGCATAGAAAAATTAAGATATTATGGTGCGTTTGTCAAGTTACGATAAAGGGATGGGTTAGTAATAGGTTTTTTAATGGAAGTACTTAGCTTCAAAGTAGTGCCAACCGATGTAACTATCGGTTTGCAAAGTTCTAGGGCAACTGTGTTAGAAAATAGGGGAAGAATAGATTGCTTGGATTCTCTGAAATTCGTGATTCACTATCAAATTGAAGTATTTTGATGGTACAGGTCGAAAACTCAATTGGATGAAATTCAGAGAATGAAATCTGAGAATGTATGTGAAATGCTCTTCAAGATGTACCAGAAAAATGACCAAAAAACGGATATATCATTCCTGTCTGAAAACTGTCAATAGACAGTTACAAATTGTCATAAAGCTACCAAACCTGTCATTAAATTGTCATAAAACTACCAAACCTGGGACCCCGCTCCCAGGGGCGCATCCCCCGGACCCCCGTTCGTTTATGGGCTTTGCCCCTAAATAAATATGTACTTTAAATCTTGAAAAACTTGAACAAGTGTGCACTCCTACACCATCATAACTTGTTCAATATTCAACAAGATCACTTTTGGTCAACAAATTTAATCCTATTACACTTAAATAATATTGATGATATAAAATCACTAACAAACTGTTGTGATGATCTCTTTGAAATACTTACATTGGGTTAGGAACATGCTTTTAGCTGAATGAGTTACTGATTTGCAAAAAAAATAAGATAGTTGTCCTAAGTCAGTCATTTTAAATTTGGATTTTTGTGTACCCGTGATTGATTTCTGTCTTTAACTTTGTTAATGAGGTCGTAAGAAAATTGTCATCAGAATTAAAGAGGAGTTATGTGATATGCAAACCATTTCAGAAGGTAAATAGTGAGGTATCACTCTTACTACATATGTGAAACCGATCTTTAGCAAAATTTGAGAAACTGTTGATACCATGCTTGTGGGGCTTGGGTGAAGCCATAAAGTGATTTTCATAGTTTGTACACACAACTAGTATACACGAGGTTAAAGAATCCCAATGATTGGTACATACACATGGTTTTCTTGAGGTTACCATGCAGAAATGCATTTTTGATATTAAGTTGGTGAATTGGTCAGTTTTGGACCATATTTAATCTTATAGTTCGTATGTCCTGGATGAAAGTTTCATTACAATCTACTCCAACTTAATGCAATTTTCCATTCACAACTATCTTTCCTTGTATCGTTTAAGAGTGCCATAAATATGAAACATGTGCCAAAACAACCATTATGTGCCTAATGATATCAATATCGGTGAGATGCGGAACCAATTCCTGTTTAAGCAAAGTAGTTCCGGTTTAAGTAGTGCATTATATTCTATAGTGATGACATTCTTCTACTTTTGATCATGAATGTTAAATTTATGATTGGTAGGGAAATGAGAGATGGTTTAAGTATATGGAGTAAAAAAACAGTTAGGTTTGTGGATACCACTTTAGATCTTGTTTGCATAAGGTGCGATGTAGAAGAAGGTAAAAGAGATGAGGGTGGAGATTGGTTATTATTTTGGCTTTGATGGGGCTCGATGGTGGAAGAGGATATGATACATTGGGATGATTGAAAAGGAGGTTGGTGAGTGTGGAGAGAGGGAGATTAGGCTATAACGAAGAAGTGGGTTAGCTATGGTGGGCCAGTTCTTGAGGACCGACAACAGTGGGGTGAGGAGCGGTTGTTGTTTTGGACAGTTTTGAAAAGTTAGTGAGGAGAGTGGATGGTTTAGGGTAGTTAAGGAATTTGTAAGATATAGTACGGTCCTTATAAATGTTGGAGAGAAAGGAATAGTGTTTTCGTCAAAGGTGAATGGATAAAGATTATAGGAGTGTTATTTGAGATAATGTAGAAAAGTTAGCCATAATAATTGGGAGGATACATGAGAAATATGCTAGGAATATAGTTTAGTGAAAGCTTATGAGATTTGGTGGATGATATGTTTGGATAACATAAGCAATAAAAAGTTCGAACGTGAGAGTATGTTGGGTGTTGATAGAGTATATCGGTTGGTGTATTATTGTCTATGGTTGTGGAATGTACGATATTGATAATGTATGTAGCGCAGGCGAGAGAAAAATTCCAAAAACTTGGAGGAAGAGAGCATGGAGAAGATTTGTTCGATCATGTTATTTATGGTACGACATAGGGTGAAAGTGGGTCCGGACCTGACCCGAATGGACCCAGACATAGGAAAACTTAGAAACAAAAATTGAAGGTTGTAAAAATCGCTCGCTTGGCGGTAGCTCGACAGTTGACTGACGATAAGAGATTAATCGGACTAGGCGATGATTAATTGGAGATTAATCGGGGACCCTAAATTATTAATAAAATTATTTAAAAAAATTAATATTTCCTAAAAAATTAAGTATTTGAAAATTTAAAAATTTAAAATTTTGTAATTTTGAAAATTTTAGTATAATATTTTGTTATTATTATTATTATTATTATTATTATTTTTTTTTTATAAATTTAACACATCATCATTTAATGCCAACGTCACATAGCCAAATAGTGTCATATCTGCATGTCATGTCATTGGAGACTGACACGTCAACTCGGTTAACCGGTTAAGTGGTTGTTGGTTAACATTGTAAAAATTAGAAAACTCAGTGACTAATTATAATAAAAAGTAACACTATACAAATTGAATTTCTATGAAAACATAATAACTTTTGTACAATTTACCCTATAAATAATACTAAGTTTGACACTTACATTTATGTTTCTTACAAAATCTAAACTTAAAATTGTGATTTTAGTTATTTGGATTTAACCTGAAAGCGAACTAAATCCATCAAACTTTATTTGGTTCGGTTTCGTTTATATTTTAGAAGCAAAAAATCAATCAGGGCGAACCGAATAAACCAATCGAATAATGTTCCTAAAACTTATATTATGGATCCTTTAAATGGTTCGGTTTCGTTTAATATTTTAGAAGCAAAAACATCAATCAAGACGAACCGAACAAACCAATCGAATAACGTTCCTAAAACTTGTATTATGGACCCTTTAAAGATCACTGGAACCCCTTTTACTTTATTTTTTCTTATTTTTTTTAATTTAATGTTTCTTTATGTCTTGTTTCCTTTTACAGTATCTTCCCAGGATTAGTTTGTCTTCAACGAGACTTTCCTTGCATTAGGAACACAACACCTTGTAAGTTGCTCATTGTTTCTTTTCACTAATCACAACTAAAACATTCTTTCCAACTTATTTTATTAAAGTTATTGCTTGAGTTATACAAAACATCATTAGAAAGATAAGCAACCATAACTTTCTACTCACATTATTTCAATGATTTTTAATGGTATTTGTCGACACAAACAAATAGTTGGTTACCACTTTATTCTATTATTTAGTAACACTAATATTTTGTAAAATAAAATAAACAGTCGTTACCAGTTTTGGAACGTAACCCATTTTATCGGTGAACCCACTACTAATTAATCTTTATTTCTTGCTAAAGATTTCAGCTTTGCAATAAATTGCGGAGGTTCAGATATGAAGTCCATGAATAACATACAATTCGATGCTGAAAATGCTACATCACTTGGTCCCGCTTCCCATTTTATACAAGAAGAAAAATGGGCTGTGAGCAATGGGGGAATTGTAACTGACAGAATTAATAATGACCCTTCATTCATACAAACCACATCAATCCAAGTCAACAACACAAGATACCCTGAGCTTTTCACAACTTCAAGAAAATCTCCAGGGTCCCTTAGATACTATGGTTTAGGCCTTCAAAATGGTCCTTACACCATAACCCTTTTCTTTGCTGAAACTGTTTTCAATTTAAGCACGAGCGTCTGGAAGGGTCATCCCAGGCGTCTCTTTGATATTTACATCCAGGTTAGTAATACAATGCTAAATTTTTTTTTTTTAATATAAAAAGTTTAAAAAACAGAAATATCTCCAAAAAGACCACGTTGTTTATGGGTTAGTTAAATGGGTTAATCACAATATGCCAAAATGGGAGGGATCAATACACAAAATGACCAAATTTTGAATTCGTAGAACAAAATAATTACTAATTTTGCTAAATAAACCTTAAAAACTACTTTTTTCCTTTCTGAAATGCTATTTTTTGGTTTTTGGGGAATGCTAAGGTGAGTTTGGTTGTGAATTTTTTTTTTTCCAGTTTTTTAGAAAATTTTTCCACGAAAAACAGAAATTTTGAAAACGTGTTTGGTTTGTTCAGTTTTTCAAATTTGTCTATGAAAATTTTCAGTTTTCCAAATTGTATGTAAATTAGAAAAATGATTTTTATATTTTTCCAAAGTTTTCCAATTCTCTAAGTTGGAAAACGAAAACTCCACCCGTTTCAAAAAAACGTGTTTTTTAAAATTTTCATTGAAAACTGAAAATAAAAAATTCAACTCTATATTCTGAAAACATTTTTTAGAAATTAAAAACAGTTCTCCATAACCAAATGCACCCTAAGTGATGCTCTTTTACAAAAAGAAATATCACCATTTCATTAAAAAGGAATTATTTTCTGCTAGATTTTATTAATGTATCTCACATTGGTGCAACACTGTTCTTTATATCTCTATATAATATGTTGAAATCTCACTCTCTCCACAATTGGTGCTATTTTGGACACACAATCTTAGACTCCACATATATATCTCATATTTATAAGCATGGTAAATGAAAGAAATACAAAAAACAAGAAACCAGACACATTGTTGTTTTCAATATGGCTTAAAATCTAGTTTCACCTTCTAACTCTATTTATAAATTGAAGTTAGAAAGTCTAGACATTTTGAATTCGTAAAATAATATAGCTGTTAATAATGAAACAAGTGGCCTTAAATCTTACTAGGGTAGCATTTGCACAGAATTTTAGTTGAATCATTTGCTTAAAATCTTGTGAAAATCTGTGAATTACAATTGCCAAAATTCGAAGGAGGCATTTGGCTTGCAAAATGTAATTTTAGAAGGAATGAACTTTGTGTTTCAAGCGAACTGAGATACGAAGGAATTGCAATATATCATGAGTTTGGTTTTTTGGAAATAAAATGGAGCTCAACCATAAACATTGCCGAATTTTTTAATTTTAACTTATAATAAATTTTTTAACATTAGTTAGTATATTTGAATATATAAAACGAGGGTATCCAACACAATTAAACTCCGTCCAAATAGCAACCAAACACAAGATGGAATGGAATCACAAGTTCCAATTCCTTTCGATTCCCCTAGAATCCAAAAACCCAAGCACATCCTAATTTTCTTATTTCTTGTTCTCAAGGGAAATCGCCGACAAAAGGACTTTGATATATCAAAAGAAGCAGGAGGCACTGGAATAGCCCTAGAAAAGAATTATGATGTTTCAGTGACACAAAATCATATTGAAATCCATCTTTTTTGGGCTGGAAAGGGGACTTGCTGTATACCTGAAGAGGGAGATTATGGTCCTTTAATTTCTGCCATCAGAGTTACTCCTGGTAATAATCATTAAATGTGCATACGTATTCTTTTATTTCAAGTCAATTCTAATGATTTCTGATTTTTTTTTTTTTTTAATCAGGTTTCAAAGTGAAGGGTAATTCTTCAAATAAAACTGGAATGATAATTGGTATCATAGCTGGCGTGGGATCTTTCTGCCTTGTTTTCTTAGTTTTTGGTTTATTATACTTGAAAAAGAGAAGGTCAAAAGATAGGGAAGAAGAAGGTAACCATTATATTGATTATTACTTAAAAGCAATTGAAGAGGGAATGAAATCGATGATCAGCCATGAAAATAAAATTCCTTTTTGGTTGTCATATATAGGAATGGAACATAGCATTCCTGACGGAATGTGATTCCTTCTTGTGGTTGACTTCCATTATGTATAGGAGGGGTGCTTTCTTTTTTTATTTAGGGGGTGTTTGAATAAATTAGCTTATAGTTTATTAACTTATTGCGTGAGAATAAACAATTTTTATAAAAATGTTTATGATAGGAATAAGTAATAAACAATAAGCAGTAAGTAAGGGGATGCTTATTAATATCAATTTGTTTAGTTTATTCCTACCACAATAATAAGCTGATTTTTAAGGATTCATATCCAAACACTTAAACTTAGCTTATTGTGGTGGGAATAAACAATAATCACCCTCTTTTTTTCCTATCCAAATACCCTCTTATTAGTGGAATGAAATGTTATATATTATAATTATAATTTTTTTTATTTATATAATCTTCGATAACAATCATATACTTTTTTTTCCCAAAAAACTTCAATTAAATTGTTTTTTTGTTATTTTCTAATAATAACTATAAATATCTTTTAAGATTTCGTGGTATTTAAACTTATATAAGCTTTTATTTTTGCAAACAGACAAAACTTTTATTATTATTATTATTATTATTATATGTTAAATCTTGTCTGAAATACGTTTTTAATGCAATTTATTTATTTATATATCATATCATTTTATTAATTTATCAATTTAATTTCATTAAGTAACATAACAAAAAACATGTTTGAAGTAACATAAAGTGTTTGAACGACTCACCACGTTCCTCAAACCAACGCGACATGATAATGAAATGTATTGATCCATTCGCACAAACATACCCATTCTATGCAATCATTTAGATACTCTAGTCTTTTATAATCTTTATTTTTTTGTTAATTTTTTGCTAGATATTTTTGGAATGGGGCCCAAAATAAATACTTACACCTATGCGGAACTGAGAACTGCAACTTCAGATTTCAGTCGTTCAAATAAACTTGGTGAGGGCGGTTTTGGACCCGTTTACAAGGTTTGATCCACACCATAATTTCTATTAAGTTTTGTCAATAAGTGCTAGTAAATTTTTTGTTAAAAAAGATAATGAGGTTTATTATTATGTCACAGGGGATATTAAATGATGGAAATATAGTAGCTGTGAAGCAACTATCAGTAGCATCCCACCATGGAAGGAGCCAATTTATAACTGAAGTTTCAACCATTTCATCTGTCCAACACTGTAATCTTGTGAAGTTACATGGTTGTTGTATTGAAGGAGCTAGAAGACTTCTTGTTTATGAGTACCTTGAGAATAAAAGCCTTGATCAAGTACTCTTTGGTATGGAAAAATCTTTATATGCTTTTTATTATCTTTTACTGATAATATCTCACAATATTCTTTGAACAAAAAAAAACCAATTATGAAAAAATTACAACTGATCCCATGTGTTAGTACATGCTCTTTTTTGATGAAATGGACTTAATATGGACACAACTTATTCTGTTAAATGTCAACATACTTTACTCTTTCTATCAATATGGGCAATTTGCTTTGATCTCTTACTCATAATAGCAATATAGTTACATATCTTTACCAATATGGACATCGTACTTTATTTGTAACATATTTCTATTATTTGTAAAGAAATGTAACTTCATTATTGCTATGAGTAAGTAATTGCAAATATATTGATATTATGTAAGACAATGTAAGCATGTTGTTATTATAGGTTACATATTGCTTTTTTTGATAAAAGAATGCAAATACATAGCTATTATGAAAAGAAATGCAAGTACATTGTATTACGGGTACAAATTTAGTACATGGTCTATATTGTTAAAAAGAAGTAAAGTATGTTGCTAGTTCTTGCAATTTTCCCTCTTTATGGATTAATGCATGCATATCGACTTAAATGAGTTAAGTTAGAGAAATGTTGGTTTATCCATTCAAATGTTTCTTTGTACATCAAACGAAGGGTAAAATGATCGTTTACTCACATCTCTGGAGAAATGTAGGTTTAGCCATTTGTTATTTAGCATCACTTGTAAACAGAAGGTGTTAGGGTTGAATAACTTCAACAAACAATTTAATGATTTCACACCAAGTTATAATGCAAAAAAAAAAAAAAAAAAAAAAGAACACAATCAATTTACATGGTTCACACGTTTAGAGTCATTGGCTCTATTCAAGGGCGAACACAAGAGAGAGATTTTATTATTTCTGTCGAATGCTTGTTACACTTAGGTTACAAGAATAGCCGAGGAAATTTTTTTCCTAGGGAGTTGCCCCTAGTTGCCGTAAGGGGCAACACTCCCTCTAGGTTCAAAGATAAATCAGTCTCTCCAACTTAACATAATTATAAAATGGTCTTTCAACTAGTTCATTCGGTTAAAAAAAAAGTCTTTTTTATGTAGAACACCAACTCCAAACAAACATCATTTCTCCAAACAACACTTATGGTTTGTTTTCTTTTTTCTGCATGCATATTATATGATGTATAGATAACTTATTTATGCATCCAAAGAAATACTTAATGAAAAAAGATTGCTTCTTTTATTTTTCATTGAACGAACTATCTAAATGAGAGTGAATACCAATTTACCATCTTATGTATATATTACATTTTAAAATACTTAAATAAAAACATTTGATATAAATTACAATACAATTAGATATCAAAATCTAAATCTTACCATGTTGATATCTTATAGGGAAAACCGATGTCCGCCTTGATTGGCCAACACGTTTTAATATATGTTTAGGAACAGCAAAAGGATTGTCTTATCTTCATGAAGAATCAAGGCCTAGAGTTGTGCATCGTGATGTGAAAGCAAGCAACATCTTACTTGATGAAGAATTATGCCCCAAAATATCAGATTTTGGATTAGCAAAACTTTACGATGATAAAAAAACCCACATCAGTACCCGGGTCGCAGGAACTATGTGAGTTCTTTTTTAAACACATTTTAGTATTTTTATTCAATGACCCCTTAATTGTTTTTATTTCTTTATTACACATAGTGGCTATCTTGCACCGGAGTATGCAATGCGTGGGCATTTAACATCAAAAGCTGATGTTTTTGGATTTGGAGTTGTGTGTCTTGAGATTGTTAGTGGGAGGCCCAATTATAAGGAGAAACTGGATCCCGAACAGAAATATCTTCTGCAATGGGTAAGATCAAAATAAATTGTTTAGCTAGTGTTTGGTAAGATGAAATCGAGGAAGGAATAAAATCGTTCATTCAATAGGATGAAAATGAAAAAAAAAAACACTTGTTTGTTTTGCAAAATGGAATGGAATGGAGCAAACCCTAAGGAATGTGACTCCTTCAATTTTGTTAATTGAGAGATGTTTTTTTTGATTTCACATGGAATGGAATAAAAAACTTGAAATACAACCCTTTTTATCTATGTACTTTTTAATCGCATAATCTTTTCAATTTTATTTCATCATCTTAATTAAATTACAATCAAGTGTTTTTTATTATAACATTTTGTGGTTTTCATATGTTTTTATTATGTTATACTTTTTAATTTTGTAAATAAAATTTCGTTAATTATTATTAAACTAATGTACATAATAGAGTCAAATTGCATATTGTGTTTACATATAATATATACAAAGACTTACGAAAGTTCATTCCATTTCAAAGGACAGGGTAACGGAAAAAAGTAAAAGTTAATTAACGGAACAAGTTATTTGGTTTACCTCTAAGAATGGAATGAGTTTTTCATATTATATATAGTTAACATATAGTTTCAACTATACTCCATATAATTAATTATAATTTATGCACTTTTATCTACACAAAAAACTGAAAATAATAAAAGTTCATCAAAACCTAAATAAGAAAGAATATGATATAAATAATACTATTAGTTATATTTACAAAAACAAAATTATAATTTAATTTAAACTATAAAATGTTTCCAGGCATGGACGCTATACGAAAGCAACCAAGCTCTAGACCTCATAGACCCATCTTTGACATCATTTGATGAGCAACAAGCTATTCGTATGATAGGAATCGCCCTCATGTGTGTTCAAGCATCACCATCATTAAGACCTGCAATGTCACGTGTAATCGCAATGCTTTCAGGGGATATTATCATCAGTCCAGTCAGAACAAAACCAAGTTATTTAACCGATTGGGATTTCAATGACACCACCGATAGTTTTTATGATGAAGAACCGATTTCGTCTGAAACTGCAACCATAGCAACAAATACAACTACATCAATGGGTCTTGAGTCGAATCCATCGCCTATAATGTTGGAGCTATTGAACGATGGGAGTTGTAAGATATGAAACACGACATAATCTTCAGATAATGGTAACTTGTACATTCATTCTACATTTTCATCAATGTTATTTTTTAATTTTTTTTTTATAGTAAGGATATACAGTATGTTTTTTTTAACCTTGTAACGTATTCAAGTGTTGTAGTTAGTAGAGTGAGGTGAAGAGGCAAGTATTCAATGATTATGGGTAGAGGTGAAGAAAGAAGTGGTTAAAAGATCAAATGAAAATAAATAATAAACATGTATTTAGTCGTTTTGTATTAATTCATAGTAAATTAGTTTTCTGTTATGTTTGATTTGCATGGTTAACGAAAAAACTAAAGTACTAATGGTTTTTTTAAGTCAAAAACTAATGTTTTGGTTGGTTTTAGTCAAAAATGGAACTGAACCATGCTCCACCTGAAGGTTAGATCGCAATTTTAGACATTCCTTTTACATTTCTTTGTATATGCCTTAAAATTCATCTTCATGTTCTAAACTCTTTATAAATTGTAGTTATAATATCTTATTATTATTTTTTTTAGAACGACATGATTTATTAAAAACAAAAAGCAAAAAACTAGCCAAAAACCAACCAAAATATCAAGTAACAACTAATTGAAGATTTTGAACCAACCCACTCGGTTAATAGCTTTCTTAGACTTAGCATTACACCACATAAAAGAGTTGAAAGCTTTTTTAGACCTTGCATTACACTGCATAAAAGACTGAGTGGCAAAAATTATCAAAAAGAGGCACCCCACTCAGCTTTGAAGAAGCAAAATGCTCTAGCATTCCTGAAGATCCACAAGTGCTACCAAGAGGAAAAGAAAATACCCTCCAAAAAATATTCACAACCCCCAAAAGCCAAAGAGAATTGAACTAAGCAAACCAATCCAAATAAGAAAAATAGGAATCACATCCAGGTTCCACCATCAACAGATTTGGATCAAGAAATCAACCGCTAAAGAGCAAGAAAAGAACATATGACTAGCATTTTCAATATCAACCTCACAAAAAGAACATTGCACTGAGGGAACATCCACACCCTGTAAATCTAGGTTTGTCACGCTAACACATTAACCTTAATAGACATCAACCTACACCATTCCGTAGGAGTCGGAGACAAGGCGATAGGCAAAAGCTTCTCATTATTCAGAACGAGCCATAGCTATAGAAAACTCTCCATAACCAAGTAACGACCAACACAACCTATCATAAGTAGTAGCAGCAACAGAAGAAAGGTTGACTGAACCAAGCATATCCACACAAAAAACCCTTTGAAGGGTTTCGACTCCACCCCAGGAACCCTATGAAAAGACTCCAACAAGGAAGCACACACCATCTTATCATTAACAATAATATGCTTATCATTTTCCAAATTAAAACATCTAGGAAATTGACTTTTTAAAGAGGAACCTCCTAATCAAGAATCATCCTAGAAAGAGGTTAAGGAACCATCCTTAACACTCTTATTACGATATTGTAAAAGATCGGACCTTTTGTCATGTAACTGATTAACCACCTTCAAAATGTTAACCCAAATAGAACTTCTACCAAGAGGCAGTTGACTCCAATATACACATTTCCCCGTGAATGAACTTAACAACTCTAGCCCAATGACTATGAGAATAAGAGAGAAACCGCCACGACTACTTGAGATTACTAAAGCCCAAGCCTCCATGTTTTTTCCGCGCTAACATGTTTCTGCACTTGATCTATGTCATTTTATTCTCATCTAAATCATCTACAATGAACAAATTAAGCACACACTATCAAGAGATATCTCAAACCAACTAGAAGATCATCAATTCTCTTACTGATTGATTACGCTAATGCTGATGACGTGTCTAAACTATCTATCTTATCCAAATGGTAACTTTTTAAATGATGATTAAAAGGTTCATCATTATGTTGGAATACAAGATTTTTGCGGTGCATATCTCTTCTCTCATGATTATGTAAGAAAAAAGAAACTACTTAGGTATAAATTTGGAATTCATCGCTCTAGGTCAATTTCAGAAGCAATTCAAAAGTAATTGGCATTCTCTCAAAAGGCTCTTAATCGTTATCTTCCCCACAACTTTCACCATGCCAAAGACCTTGTACGAATTTGCTCCCAACGCTAACACCATCAAAGGCCCTCATGCTTCTAATGCTACCATCATCATTTAATCAAAAAATGTGGTATTCTCAGATGAAATCCCAAAACAATTTGTGAATTCTGGAATCGAAGATTTTGTCGAGTTTGTCAAAAGCGGTCAACTTAGGTACGTATTTTGCGACTTTATTGACCCTTTCTACCCTAGACAAGTATGTGAGTTTTACTACACATGCTCTATTGATACCGTTTCTCGAACCATCTCTGGAACCATTGGAGATGGTCAATATAGGGCTACTATTGATGTAGAATCCATTCTAACTGCTCTTCGTCTTCCCCTATATGATAGTTACTATAGAACTTTTTCTGAAGAAAGCTAGAAGATTGTTCATGAAAAACTAGGGTATAACTTCACACTCAAGGGCCTCACTCGTGATCCCTACATGAATACCCTTCATCAGTGTTTCAATGTAGGATGAAAATACTTAACATGTGTGATTGGAAAATGTCTTGTCATAAGACTGGAAGCTTGGATCAACTAAACTTTTTTGAGCAAAGGATCTTATACTCCATTGTTTACAACAAGAAATTGGATTTTGCTTAAATCTTTCTTGATTATATGATTGAATGTTGTTCTAGGAACAAGAGACCAGTGCATGTTCCCTACCTACACTGGCTTGGGTTGATCTTGTCTCGTGAAGAATCCTGTGTTGAAAGTTATGGGATCATCATTCCTATTCCCGCTCTTTCCTCAAAAATCATCAATGCTTCCCCATCTATGGATGATCTATCTATTACTACAAGGATGAGAAAGTGGATTGAAAATCCCTATGTGGTTGAATCCTTAGACTCTGAAGAGGATAATGACAATGATGATGCTGGTGATGAAGAAGGTAATAATAATGAATATTCAGAAGCTGGTAATCAAAAAGGAGCTAATAAGGGAAAAGACACTGATAAAGATGAAAATACCTCAGCAGCTGACATGGGAGATGACTTCATTTAGAATATGAACTCTCCTCTAAAGATAAACAAACACATATGTTTTTTAATCTCTTCATCCTATTCCTCTATTGATGAAACTGAACGTCGTGGATCAACCCCTCCTGTTGGAGATACTACTGAGCCAATGATCCAGGATGAACTTTCTCCAACACCGTCTCCTTCTACTCAAGTTGTCGCTGCTCCTCAAGCTGAATCGGTTCCCCCTCACCATCACCTATTACTACTATTGTTCTTTATCAAGGTGATCAAGGAGAATCTAGCTCTAACTTTGAAACTGCTATGCTTTCCTAACTTTCCTTAGTTACGCAGTTGACTTAGTCAATTAGTAGAAGATTGACTAATTGAAAGGAATGTGGGTACAATGAAGAGACTTATGTCCTTGGATGATGAAGATGATAATGATGATGATATGGTCATTAATGACACTGCACCAAACTCTCCAGGTGATAACCCTCCTCCACCTCCTCCATCATGAACAAACCCTCCTCCACCATCTCATCCTCCTCCAAGAACTCCTTTTCCTCCTCCTAACTGTCCCCCCAATCTAATGCTACCAAAAAGGGGGAGAATTATCAAGAGGGTCCCCAATCAATGCAAATGCATATGGTTATTGCATCTCAGCCTGAGATGACTGAAATGAGTAGAGCTAAAGCTGATACTCTAGAGCCAATTGTTGTTGCTAATATTCCTGATGTTGATGCTGCAACTAATCAGCCTATTCCAGACACTGGTGACCAATCAGAAACTGATGACTATGAAGGGTTTCTAGATCTTGGTTTCATGCAACAAGCTGCTATTTTTTCCGTTCCATTGAGCGTTATCTATCATGGTTCTTATTTTGAAAGGGATTTTTGTTAAGAGGTTCCTTAAGGAACAACAGTAACACTGATTCTGATGATGGTGTCCAGTTTAATCCAAGAAAAAGAAAGGCTTCCTTCTCAGGGGGGTTGTTAACTCTAAAGCTATAAGTTCCTCTACACCTGGTGATACTTCAGCTTATCCTCAATAGAAAAACAAGCCCATTTTTATCTAAAAGAGTTAGCAAGAACATGAAGCTTACCTATAAAGGAAATTAAAAAGATAATGCATGAATACATTGCTACTATTCGACAAAGAAAGAAGTCAGAAAACAAGAACTCTTGTTTGGAAAACTTGTTCATGAACTTGTTTTCGCTGTTAAAAATGTTAAAGTTCAATGAACTAATGATCAGGTTAATAAGATTTTCAACAACAATGTTGAAAGACAACATATTGTTTTAAATCTATATGAACGGATTGATAGAAAAAAGTTTGGAGACGTTCTGACTCGAAGAACAAAGCCTAATCCCATCATCAGAGTAAGATGCACTAAACCAAATAACGAGTCACTAAAACTTCACTTGGTAAGAAAGAAAATTACGTATGGATATACTAAAGTTGTGTTTGTTCATGAGCTAGTCAAATTCAGCTATAGTGAGTGGATGCAGATTCTTGAAATCATCAACAAGCATAAAAGTGTTCATGCTCAAGAAAGGAAGCTGGAAATCCAACTTCTCAATAAAGTAAAGAAACTGAACCTGGTACCATCCGCTAGTCTATAAGTAAGTTCATCTAGATCAGCCTCATCTGGAAGAACACGCGCTCCTTGGCAGTCCAAGAATACCAAGTTCCTTCTTCCTTATTGTACCAGATACATCAATAATGAATTATCATCTAGTTTTGAACCTGTTCAGTATATGCTTATCCTATAACCATAGCATGGGATTTTCTATCTTGATAGACAAAATTAGATGTGCTTTCAATGCACTGATGACCTTCCTTTTGCTCCCACTAAGGACTTGTTTCATCTTCGATTGGAAGGACTAGGTCACTATGATCTAGAAAGAGGATATTATGTTCTGATATCACTGGAGCTGAATAGAAGACTGGATAAGCTAAAACTTGATCAATTCAGATGTTTAAAGCCTGAAATCTTGAAGGAAGTTGACAAGTTCTACAATGGCTCTTCTGATGACTCTAAAGAAGAAGATTAGTTTTGACATCATCAGATGGGGAGATTGTAAGGTCACACCTTATGATCTGATGAGTCAAACACATAACATGCACATCTACGAGTCGACACCACCAATACCAACTTAACAAACTCAACAACACCAGCTTATAGTATAACTGTTTGATTATAATCTTTTGTATATTAGGCAGTTATTATAGATAAATATAGAACATATTAGATCCCATATCTTTATGATAAGACCAGTTCTTAGTATAAATTAGACTCAATTCCATCAATCAAGGGATATACATGTATAAATTAGTATATATAAAACATTAGGGAAAACCCTAATGTTATGCTAGTGTTCGTGGTTTTGTGTTAATTGTCTTGATGACAGACCCATCTTCTTTGTGAAGACAAAACCTATTTTCTTGGAGAAAGGAACATTTAGAGAACTCTTGTGTCATTTACTTTTTGTTGATTGTTTCGTTTATATTAGATTTGTTTTTCTTGTTCATACTTGAAGTGTATCCGATCAACTACAAACCTTAACTTTGAACCATCATAAAATCTTCATACCAGCTCGGAATGAGGCACTGTTTTTTTTCTAGATTGTAGTCATATTTCTTATCTATGTTTTAGGCTTAAGTAATAGCTTATTTGGTTTAGTTTTGGATGATTTATGTAGCTCTGAATAATGTATGTTAGGATTTTTTTTACATTATTTCATCATTTTTTAGCTTTTTTTTTTTTGTCAAACTCTTCTTTGTTTGTATATATGTAGATGACACGATCTCCTTTTCCACAATCGATTGTATGGAATGAAAAACTGTTAGGATATCCGCCATATGAGCATTTTATGCAATGTATGTTATGATTCATTGGTGGATGATGTATGATTTTGCTATGAATTGTTTAGAAAAAGCTATAATATTATAGGGAAACACCTAATGGGTTACAATAATGGACGTGATAGTGTTCAGAATATTGTTTATAAAAGTGATAAAACAAGTGTGGTTAGAATAAAAATGAATATAAATGAATTTACACGATTACATGACATGCTTGCACAAAGTGGAAGGGGGGGGGGGGGTGTTGAAAGACAGAAAAAACATGGTAGTTGCCGAGCAAGTTTCTATGTTCTTACATGTGAAGAAATCCAAAGGAGCCAAATTTCATCCGTATACACCTCTTGAACTTTCATCCGAGCAAGTTTCTATGTTCTAGAATAACAAAGTCTTATAACTCAAGCTTGAACTTTCATGCTTAGTTTAAAGGAAATACTTTATTAATTGGTTTTACTAAATTTAATTTGTGTGAATATGATTATCTCTATATTTGACTTTATTCTAAGTATAACTATATATTTTAGAGAATATGATTGGTGTTCTGATGTGATGTAGAGTCACTTAGCTTGATTAAGTATACTCTTGAAGTTACACAAGATTTTTAGGTTATCCTTCAATGGAAGAATTCAACTTAGTTTTTCAGTGAACTCAATCATTCAGTCATATTTTATTGCATCTTCTAAAGTAGCAATATATTCCTATTTTGTAGTAGATTATTCAATTATGTTTTACTTGGACCCCATTCCAAAAAAACTCAATTTTCATTTATAATGAAGTCATAATCCAATTATAATTCATAATTACATCAGTTTGTTTGAAAGTCACATCTTGTGCAACTCTTTACACAAAGATCTTCTTCTAAATTGATTAACTCATATACATTATCTTAGTTCTTCTTAAGTACTCCTAGAATGTACTTATAGTCATCTAATGACTTTCCCATGTATCTTATTCGTTTCTTATGATATGTTCTTAGCATAATCATATACCTAGTATTGTTCATAATCTGGCATAAATGATAAATTCATTTGTCAAAACAAATAGAATATAAATCATTTTATCTAGTAATGCCAAGATTTCTATGAAGGAATCATGTATCTTGATCTATTTCAATATATTATCAACATATACATAAATATTTAAAACTTTTAACATTCATATTTCTTTTTCTCCATATATTTTATATCCCAAGAAAGTATCTTATATTTCCTAAGTTTTTCATCTTATAAAAACTTTTTGAGTCTAGGTGAAACAACCTTGCATAGTCGAAATGTAGTTTCTCATGATTAAGTAAGTCTTATTCATATAAGATTTGGAATATCACTATTGCTCCCACTAGTTTTTAGTAAACACAGATGCTATATTCATTTTAATGCAAAAGAAATTTTTTTGTTTTCATATTAAAATGAAGATTCTAATCTTGAGATGTTTGCTTTATATCGACAAATGGATTATATAAACATCTTAAAGTAGTTGTCTATTAAGAAAATCAGTTTTTCTTGAAATCTATTTGTCATACCTTATAATCAGAATATGTAGTTATGTGTTGATTTAATCATAAATTGAGAAAAAGTTTGATCATAATCATTGGCATGAGTATGATTAAAGCTTTCAACAAGTCTTGCTAAATATGTATAGATCTATATGTTTGTATTGTTTTTAAAAGAATTACTTACTACTTCTAGCCTTGATATACGGAGGAAAATTAATCAAGTCGATACTTGATTATTATATATGGATTACATCTTAGTGTTCATGACTCTAGGTCATTTATCATGCTTAGGGTCTGATATAGAATTTTGGTAGTTGATGGATTTGCTAGAAACCATCAAGAAGGACTCATCAATGAGAGATTCTATATTTCTCATGCTATAGAAAATTTCTACCATATATTCAAACAATTTGTGTTTATAAATAGAGAATATTCATGTTCAAAAAATCATTGTTGAAACTAGTACCAACTATTGCTACCTCAGGTTATGGTTCTTGAGCTGCTTCAAGTTCGATGTGTCTTCCACTTGCTTTGTTATTATAAGCTTGCTTTCTAATAACTCAGATTTAAGAGGAATAAGAAACTTGGTGAATTTGTATAAAATACTCTACACAACCTTTCAAAATATTCTATGAATATGTAATTAATAGATTTGGGTTTAGAAGCTTCAATCTAACATAGGTTTCAAATCTTCAAAACATTAAGTAAGATAAGGATGAAACCTCTCCATACTAAATGTTATAAAATATATTTTATCTACTTATTAGTTGGTGTTTGTGCTCGAAATACAACTAATAGTGATTAAGGCATAATTCCAATAAAATGAAGGAAGATAATTTCCACCGATTAGAAAGTAAACCATATCTAGTAACATTTAGTTCATCATTTATTATCACTAAGGCTTTAGATGGTTCGACTGATCTGTATCTTAACTTTATATTTGAAAACTTCAAAAAATGCTTCTTAATTATATTTTAACATGTAAAATATAATTAAAACGACTATAATTGTTAATAAAGTTAATTACATATCTTCCACTAAGTCTAGACATTCATTAAACAAAAAGTCATACATCACAATTATAGTTCCTTAATAATTATTTTCGCTACAATTTAGTGAAAATAGAATTAGTAATATTTTATATGTAAATAAAATTCAGATATGTCATATAAACTATGTTATTTTCCTTCAGATAGCCATTTTTTGAAGTTGGGATATGTGTATTTTATTTATAGGAAATTAAGTAATCTAACCTTATAAATGATCTCTTTTACAAAAATAACATTTTTTTTTAAATCAACCACATTTTCCGAAACACATTATTCTAGAGAGGTCTCCAGAATTTCGGAGTACGATTCCGGACCATGGTTCCAGAAATTTTATTTTATTTAAATGTTTGATTCCGCAAGGCCTCCAGAACACTAGAGTATGATTCATGAAAGTTTATTATTATTTTTTTAAATTGTTATTTGTGTAAATGTTTGTTTGTTTGTTATTTATTTATTTTTTGTAGAAGTTTTGTTTATATATTAAATAAAATGCAATTGATAATCTTAAAATCAATAAAAACCAAATAAATTATAAAATAAAGGGATTTGTTTGAAGTAATATTACAATGTTGAAATCATCTTATTCCTTGTACTCCAAAATATGTTCACCATACGTTTACGATATGACATAGCCCATGTACCGCTTGGTCCGTCGATAGAATTCGACTTCTCGGTGATAAACACATCTAGGAACCAACACAAAAACAACCCACAATCCCCTCTTCTTTCAACCTGTTGTGGTACTTGTGGCGTCTTTACGAGGGTCATCTTGAAACTCTCAAGTGAGATTGAATCACTTGGTTCGGTACTCTAATAGTTAATACCCACTAACAGTCTGTGGATGCAGGGTTGCATATCGATAAACCAATCGTAGGTTTCTAAAAAGTAGGCACTCTTCTAATGACTGTCATATATTATCATTTGGAAAGTCTTCAAATTCAAAGCGCCCGAAAACCAGTGAGAAATTCGAATATTGATTGGGATGTAAAGCTACAAAAAAGGGTTAGAAATTAAACATCAAATAACATTTTATTACATACATACTTAGGGTAATGTAATTGAAATACAATTATAGCATATCACAGTCTACCCAAGCTGGGTAAACAGGTCCATTAGACATGTCACTGCAGCCAAATGCATCAGTGTTGAAAGCTATCGGGACTACCGTCCACTAAGCGTCATCCTGTCTACGCTCCTTTACAATGAGATGCATAACATGATTTGCTGCGAATTAAAAATATTTGCAGTTAAGTAAGTGTTGTTAGAAGCGTGGTATGTAAATGAGTAGGCTAATAATGTAACGTACATCACATTCCAACCACCCTATGTTACTATCCACATATAAGCGTGTCAAAAATTCAATCGTCGAAATACCAATAAAAAACGGTGACTAAATAACACCGAACCATCTTTTTGTTGATAACGAGTGTGTACGGTAGGTTCTAAGAGATTGTTCAACGGTGCTGGCTGTTGTCGTACAACATCTTTCCTTTTCATTTGTATCCATGGGGACTTATACCATATGAAGATTACCTTTTTCTACATAAAACGTCGAAGTGCTAGGGGGGGGGGGGTGTTTTGTATTTATCCTGTGGAATCTATTTTACATACAACGAATGAATAAATGGAGACCGCTATGTAGCGCCATCAT